ATTAAAGTTTATCCGCATCCTCTATAATCCAGGGTACGCTCACTTGCCCTCTCTGGTTGCTGGAATAAATCGTATCAAAGATCCAGGAACACGACTACGTATTTGATTGGTCTCGGGTAAACTTGGCCAATCTGTAGACTGTTACCTGTCTTTTAAAGAATACAGAGGAGCAACTCCCGCTTCAAAGCCAGTCAATTTTACCGTTACGCTCACGCGTGATTCGTGTGGAGAACACCAAAGGGTCGAACTAGTCTTCTTCATCTAATCCACATTGTGGCGCACACTGAGCCTTCGAATTTCCATGACATATTCCGGGATGAATAGAGCGGAACTGAGCGTAACCCATGGATTATCGAGGAAGGCCGTCGCGGTTTCCCTTTGTGTTTACTTACATTCCTTTGTGTTACCTGGTTTCCCTTTGTTCTAACTAACATCCCTCTGTATTAACCGACATTCCGTTGTTTTACCCGGTATCCCTTTGTATCAACTGACATTCCTTTGTATGACCTGGAATTCCTTTGAATTAAATTACATTCCTTTGTGTTACCTGGTTTCCCTTTGTATTAATTGACATTCCGTTCTATTTCCTGGTCTCCCTTTGTATTAACTGACATTTATTTGTATTAACTGACATTCCTTTGTATTAACTAACATCCCTTTGATTTACCTGGTATTCCTTTGCATTTTATTACATTCCTTTGTGTTACCTGGTTTCCCTTTGTATTAACTGACATTCCGTTGTGTTACCTGGTTTCCCTTTGTATTAACTGACATTCCGTTGTGTTACCTGGATTCCCTTTGTATTAACTGACATTCCGTTGTATTAACTGGTCTCCCTTTGTATTAACTCACATTCCTTTGTATTAACTGACATTTATTTGTATTAACTGACATTCCTTTGTATTAACTAGCATCCCTTTGTTTTACCTGGTATTCCTTTGCATTTAGTTACCTTCCTTTGTGTTACTTGGTTTCCCTTTGTATTAACTGACATTCCGTTGTATTACCTGGTCTCCCTTTGTATGTACTGGCATTCCTTTGTATTAACTAACATCCCTATGTTTTACCTAGTATCCCTCTGTATTAACCGACACCCGTTTGTATTACCTTGTATCCCTTTGTGTTTGCTAACAAGCCTTTATATTCGCGAACTAGCCTTTTTATTGGCTAACAACCCTTTGTATATACTGACGTCCATTTTTGAACTGAAATATGTTTGTATTACATCATGTTACTGACATCCCTTTGTATTAGTTGTTATCCTTTGTCTTTACGGACATCCTTTTACATTAACTGACATCCTTTGCTTTTACTGGCATCTCTTTGTTTATACCGCCACACTTTTGTGTTTACTGTACTATTTTTATATTAACAGACATTCTTTTTATTTTACTGACACCTATTCTATAAGCTAACACCCTTTTGTATATATGACATCCATTTTTATAAACAAACATATATTTGCAGCACATCACGTAACTGGCATCCCGTTTTATTAACTGTTATCGATTTGGAATTACTGTCATCGTTCTGTATTTACTGTCATCCTTTTGTATTTATTGACATATTTTTAGTCCGTCGTCCGGCCTCCGGCCTCCGGCGTCCGTCGTCTGTCCGTCGTCCGTCAACTTTCCTTTAAACGACTTCTTTTGAATAACCAGAAGGCATAGAGTCATGCTATTTGTCTGGTAGCTTCCTTATATGGAGCCCGACAAAAACGGAATTTGACCTACTTTCAAGGTCACAGGGGTCAAATATGTAAAAACCTTCAAACAACTTCTTCTGAAATACCGAAAGGTTTAGAGACATGACAATTGGTAGGTAGCTTTCATGGAAGAAGCCGAACAAAGTTTGCGAATAAAAATGGCCTTGACCTACGTTCAAGGTCACAGGGGTGAAATATGTCAAAATGTTCAAACAACTTACCTTCTGAAATACAAAAAAGCCTAGGGATATGAGAATTACTTGGTAGCTTCCTTGGTAAAAGCTAAAGAAAGTTTGCGAATAAAAATGAACTTAACCTACTTAAAAGGTCATAGAGATCAAATATCTCAAAAAACATTAAACGACTTCTTCTTAAATACTGAAATGCCTAGTGACATTGTATTTAACTGGTGGCTTCCTTGAAATTAGCCATACAAAGTTTGCGAATTAAAATGACCTTGACCGACTTTCAAAGTCACATTGGACAAATGTGTCAAACAATTCAAACGACTTCTTCTGAAGAACTGAAAGGCATAAAATCTTTATATTTGGCAGGAGGCTTCCTGGGATAGAGCCCAACAAAGTTTGAGAATGAAAATTAGTTTGACCTACTTTCAAGGTCACAGGGGTCAAACATGTCAAATGCTTCAAACGCCTTCTTCTGAAGAACTAAACGGTATAGAATCTTTATGTTTGATTGATGGCTTTCTGGGATAGAGCCCAACAAAGTTTGTGGATGAAAATGACCTTGACCTTCGTTCAAGGTCACAGGGGTCAAATTTGTCAAACACTTCAAACGACTTCTTCTGAAGAACTGAAAGGTATATAATCTTTATGTTTGGCACGTGGCTTCCTGGGATAGAGCCCGACAAAGTTTGAAAACGAAAATTACCTTGACCTACTTTTAAGGTCACATGAGACAGATAGGTCAAACTCTTCAAACGACTTCTTCTGAAGAATTGGAAGTCATAGAATCTTACTATTTGGCTTGTAGCTTCCTGGGAAAGAGCCCAACAAAGTTTGAGAATGAAAATGACCTTGACCTACTTTCAAGGTCACAGGAGTCAGATATGTCTAACGCTTAGAACAACTTCTTCTGAAGAACTGAAAGTTATAGAACCTTAATATTTGGCTGGTTATTTCCTGGGAAAGAGCCAAACAAAGTTTGCGAATGAAAATGACCTTGACTTACTTTCAAGGTCACAGCGTCAAGTATGTCAAACGGTTCAAACTACTTATGATGAAGAATCAAAAGGCATAAATTTATAATATTTGACTGGTGACTTCCTGGGATAGAGCTCACCAAAGTTTGCGAATGAAAATGACCTCAACCTACTACAGAGGTCACAGAGGTCAACAACATTTTAAAGGATTTGTCCTTAAGAACTAAAAGAAATGGATTCTTTAGGTTTGGCTGGTAGCTTTTTGGAATAGAGCTAACCAATTTGAGAAGAAAAATGAAATTGACCTACTTACAAGGTCACAGGAAAAAATATGTCAAGCAACTTCTGAAGAAGAATCAAAAAGCATAGAATCTTACAATAATATTTTGCTGGTAGTTTCAACAAATGGAGCCAACAAAGTTTGCGAGGGATATGATTTTAGGTCAATATAATATTTAATGATAATATTTCGCTATGACTGCTTAAATATTCAGGTGAGCGATACAGGCCCTCTTGGACCTCTTGTTGTATTAACTGACATCCCTTGATTTTACTGACATCCTTTTGTATTAACTGTCATCCTTTTGTAGGTACGGTCATCCTTTTGTATTTACGGTCATCCTTTTGTGTTAACTGACATATTTGTGTATTAACTGACATCCCTTGATTTTACTGACATGCCTTTGTTTTTACCGACATCCCCTATAGCCTTCGGTTAAATGAAAGTCATGCATGAAGTCGAAACAAAACAGACCGCATTTAGATTAGTAGAGACGATACGTTCAAACTAATTTATTTCTAAAAAAATGCGGGAGCGATATCGGGGAAAAATATATAAATTACCGTCATTCCCATGCTTTACAGTGTATCGCTGCTTAATCAACTTTGATTTGATGAAAACAATTTCCCTGTAGACTTCAAGCACATTTCTGCTATAATTTCCCAAAAGACATCACGTTTATATACATTGTACATCAACCGTTATTTTGCGTTTAAAACTTGACTGAAACTAAACCGTGTGTATTCATAAGAAAATAATTGCTTTGAGTATATCAATTGTTAATATGGTGCTGCTGTGATGTTTATCATTACCAGCATACTTAATATATAACAGAGATTAAAATTGATTGTTATATATACGCAATGTGGTAAACATTCATTCTAATCTTTACATTTTCTTTAAATATAACTAGGGGAGGGGGGGGGGTATGTACGACGGCAAAGTGTCTGGATTTTCTACGATCACTCGAACGACCTCCACCACTGGGTCGAGGGTTCAGTGCAGTCGCAAGATACTGTCCGTAGGTCATCTGTTGTTCTCTGGGTAATCCGGATTTCCTCAAAAGCCTGTAAAACCTGGCAGTTCCTTAAATGACCATTGCTGTTAATAGGGCGTAAATCACAAACAGATCAAACCAAATAAAACTAAATCAAGACGTTTTAAACATTTTTTTTTTTTAATTTCAAATGGTCATAGTCTATCATATAGCGACCTCAAAATAATATCACCTGCTAACTGACGTTTTTGATAAACCATTAGTACAATGTACTTCGGAACCGGGAGTTATATTTAAATCTACAAATTAATCTTGGCTACAAGTAGGAGATTAATAGAAATCTCCTACCCGAGGGATGATTGTTTTGGTTGTCTTACCCGAGGCTCTGCCGAGTGTTAGACAACCAACACAAATCAACCCGAGGGTAGGATTCTTCTCTGTTACACCCTCAAGGTAGGGGGTGATTATTTTGCTGCCATCCTATTTTTTTTCCGTCACAACTCCAACGACAAAAATCTGCCATGTTTGTAAACAAAAACACATGCGGGGTATGAATATCATCATTCACATTTGATGACGTCATAATTACACTGGTCACACATTTTAATGACGTCACATTGAACACGGGCTAATCGGCACGAGGCTCACTCCGCCTAGGGGGTTACAAGCTGATCTTTCCCGGCTAAAACGGGGGACACCAAAACAAATCTAGGGTACGCAGGAACATCTGGAGCACATCAGGATACCAGAAACACACACATATTTTCCTTATGATATACAATAGCTTTTCGAATAACCATCAATATATAATATATAAAGACATACGAAAAATATCAAAAGAAAACGTAAACCAATTCAATTGTGGTTAGTTTTATTGATAACGCGGTATGACTAATCTCAGTGACATACGATTTACAAATATAGCTATTAACGAATGGTATGGATTGCTATACGTCGTACTCGAGATAACGGTTTCCGGAACAAATGTTTTGTGATTTGGAGTCACGTGGTACATTAGAGTGGAAAGGCAACTCATTACCGAGTCAACTAAATCGAGGTATACAATTGATTAATTAGGACAGATATGGCCTAAATTTCACACTTCACGAAAGGGGTATCTACTGAATAGTACTCTCTAGTAAGTCAGGAACCGCACAACAGTGTTTTATAATTCTGCTGGGCATATTATCTGTGGAAACCTGAAATATATAAAGTGTACATGTCCCCTATTTTGTTGTTTGTTTAACAACATTCGCCTATATACATGTTAATCACTAAAGCCTCGTCAAATAGCAATAGCTTTTTGTTGTTTACCACCTAAATCTAGCTGGACCTTAAAACAAAATAACACGTGACAAGGTTAATTAGAACGAATCATTAGTAAATTATACTGCGAATTCTTAAAGTGTCTAAACTGTTTATACGTTTGTCAAAAATATTTTAAAATACATAAATGATATATAAAACTATATGTATAAGCAAATCAATATTTTTAATATTTTTATTGTTATTTGTTTTCGTTGAAACATTTCATGTTTAGCTCCGAGCATCATATACGTTCATCGTATTTTACCCACTAATTGTTAAAATAGTCTATTATTATTTTGGACGGAAAAAAATCACCGCTCAAAGTTATGAGCGTTTAATTGAGGGCCTCTTTATGTAATCGATAGGCCTGGCTCTGTATGGGTACCATTTTCGCATTTTCGTCCTGTGTTTTATTGTATATTATACATAACTTTCTACCAACAAACTGATAATGTCCGATCTGACATAGATATTCGGTAGATACATGTACCAATATATTTAATGAAACAGTGTCTTGTAAATAACAGAATCAGTCTCGGATTATAACAGGTACTGTGTACTGGGTCCGATGTGCTTGCTACATACTGTACATGTTCCGGTACTTCCTGTCAGATAACGCTTACCTACCATACGAGGTGGTAATAAGCACCTGTAAAGTAAATCATGATCACTGTGTGGTGAAACAGTCCATGATCCAAGCCGAAGCACTGTTTCATCAGTGTATCATTATCTCTCCGGGCCTCTCCATTGTCAGCTTGAAACTTATGTCCATCTCATATTACTCCTTCCGTGTTCTGCATGATAATGACGCAAGTCTATACGCTTTTTTAAAATTTGTTATCGTCGTTTGATATTTTTTTTTTATGAAATGCAAAATATTTTATGAACACGTAATAACACCAGCGACAAGAACTAGGCCTAAGGTGATACAGAAACTCGACTAGGATCGGTATACTTATTGCGTCATATTCTATATATTCTGCATGCACATTAGAATAATCACTCAGTATGGTGCAACATGTGATTGCGTTGAGCACACGTGTTCATATCATGATAGAACGCTGCATTCTGTCCATTTCCTTTTATCGAGAATTGATTTTACATCCGAATCTGGTACAATTCTTAATATCCTGCAACCCACCTTGTATTATTGCCATGATGTTTAAGTAGTCCAATACGTTGCGGGCTGGTTATATGCAGCTAAACATCGTATTCGCCATTGAGTTTAAATTTCTCCCTAGCAGGATATGCAAGTGAGTCGTCACTTTGGTTAAACCGTTTGTATGGTTCCTTTGCAGGGTAGGCCAGCATTCGAAGATTGGTCAATGCGAGTGAGATGGAGGCAAGGACAACTAAGAACCCAAGCACAACAATTCCGTAGCCTCGATCGGTGATTTTCACAAGTGCATATATTTCTGCCAAGCTCGTAACCTGCTGCAGAGTTTGTGCAAATGAACCTAATGCGACGCCCAGCATTATGGCTGAAACAAAATGGTTATCATTTTATCGGATTGTCATATCATTTTGATAATTTCAATAACGTTTGAAAAGTTATGTATACAAATTAGCAAAAAGACATATTGTAATTTCCCTATATACTTTACAGCTTACTTTACTCCCTCCCGACTTGGCTTCAGTGGGCCGCTTGGATTTTGATAAGAATCCTCAGGCAAATTTCATCTTTGAAGATTTTTTTCAACTTATATAATTATTATAATTATAGATCTGATGATATCTATTGAATTTTTCGGTACATGTAGTGTTCTCTTCTAGCCCGATCACCCAGCGTCTTTAGATGGAAACCATATACATAAATTAAATTTACCTTTGCCATGAGGAATCGCATTAAAATATTATTAAAATTCATGCATACATACAAATATATCTCGTTACACAATGCATTATAGATTGACTCTACAAGTAATTGTCCATCAATTTATTTTCCCAATAACCATGAAATATAGATGAACGTATATACGTTTGGATTTAGTAATAGATACAGAATGTCAAAAGTGAATCAACCTGCACCATAAAGCTGTTTCGCCCTTACATGACTCGTCAGGGATGCCAGGGTTCAAAAAGGTTGAAATAGAAATTGATCTTATTTGCAATTGGAACAACCGGGGAGGTTCATAAACCCCTTATTTTTTTGATATATTTTTTTCAAAACGAAGGAGAGCACTGGATAATTTCGAATTACCAATGAGCAAAGTGAATAGATTATGAACCATGTCACTACTCAAAGAACATCATTGTAGCCCTTATATTATATTATATAGTAAAACATAGGACGTCAAGACAAAAAAAAAGTATTTATAGTGTCAAATTCTGTTCTTATATATTGGTGCATACCTTGGATGAGATAACAAATTGCTGTGGAGGTGACGACCAGAGGATTTGTCTGTCCAATCTTCCCACACATTACTGCAATTGTTATCATTAGAGCAACGACGGCAAACACCAAGGCGACAGTCACTTCAATTTGGACGCGAACGAAAATGGTCCTTATCAGGCCTGCAAAATGTACCAATACACATTTAATCTGGTATCTACAACGATAACAAGAAATAATTGCATTTATAGTATTGACATTTTGCAAAACATGATTGATACAATAATTTGAAATGATAATAGTGATAATAATATTTCGAGGTTTTATATACCGCTTTATCACAACCTAGTTCGTAGATCGTCTCAAAGCGTTTCATAAAATATTATCCGTGGTTATAGGGCTTTTGCAACCAGCCAATATCTTCCTCAATTCCCTGGGGAGCATACATATCTTTATCTTTAAGTTATAAGAAATATTGAATGTATTCATGGCATATTGAGCGTGATGCAATGTCTATCACTGAAAAATATATGAACCCTTAAAACTTGTAAATTTGTAAGCTTTCTTCAGGAGCATGATTAAATTGTTCAAGCACTTTTCAATCTTCCGAAAAACAAATCATTCTTTATGTGCGTTTAACGACTTTTTACGACTAAATAAACACTGTGTCATCTTTCACTGGCCTCATTTGTTTTCTCTCACCAGATCAAAACATGTATTCCGGAAACTTTTCCTCTCGTGCCATATCTGTGTAAATGTAAGCATACTAACATTCTAATTGTCAATGTCCAATTCAACGATCCCCCCACTATCATCCCTACCCCCTACCCCATACACACACTATTTTAGAGTGGAATTACGAAACTACAGATAAGTATATAAAACAACAATAATTATGCAGAACAAACCAAGTTCCCCTTCTGTGGCCTCTTGTGCACTTGCGTCACCGTCTCTATTAACGTATACAATCCATGCCCGCTGTTTGTTTACATTTTTCGCGACATCATGTATAAACAAACACGGATTTCATTGTTTAGTAACGTTTATGGATGTTTACAATGTATGAAATGAAACCTATTGATAAATAAATTAAAAAAACAAAATCAAAAAAAAACCGCGATGCTCTCAGCTTAATTGCTGCCTTCGGCTGCTTTAGACGAGGGGACTATTGGTTTTATATAATAGCTATATTTTCAATAATAGTATATCAGTTATATCATCTTGTAATATGATGTATATGTACATGTAACTGTTCTGTTTCACTGTGTCTTGAAAAAGGAGCGGATCGCTCCGAAAATTTGCCAACCTAAACTTGTCCACACTGTTGGAATTACTTCTTTGCCCCATATTATTATATTTATATAGATATATGTTTTGCTTCAAGACAGTAGTTTCAATCATACTATAGTTTTTAGTAGGTAACACTTACGTTTTCACAAAAACCACGAGTTTATAGTTACTGATTCAAATATCAATATTGAAAAGGGAGTCTTAATTGGGAAGATATTTGGCCATGTATTTTGTGCGGGGTGGAATACGGGCCTGGTGGTGTTCCTTAAGACTAGCGAAACCGTCTTGGCCCGGTATTGGTCTATGATAAAGATTAAGAAGCGTATTTAGTAATCCCTCGGTATCTACAGATAATGATGCTAATCCCATGTCATTAGCTAATTTAGTCTTACCTGCCATCGCCGGCACAGCGTTTTCTCCAAACAGGAGTTTAGCGAAACCCATCTGGTCTAGGGAAGACATCATCTGGTTAGCAGTAGTTTCGAATTTATCTCCGAGGGAAACATATGATCCTCCCCAATTTATTGGCATTGGTACTGCTGGTACCACTGTTTCAAAGTCACAGCGCCAAATCCCGAGTGAAACGCACAGTCGATAATCACCAATGCCAGGTGGTAGTCCTGTTGTAGGAATATTTGGTTCTATTATCCCAACCGTATAGGTATGCTCCGGAATCATTCCAGACATGGAAGTCAGTTTACCAGGGAGCGCCATTATTTCCGTCATGGATATGGACAGCTTGTAGCTGATCAGATTCGGCACAAACACTATAACTATCGTAATCACTACGATTAAAGTCGAGATTAACAATGAAAACGCAGCGAGTTTGGAGGCCATCCTGATGTTGGCTAAATTAACATAAAGCGCAAAACGAATGTGTCATAACGTCCGACCTAAATCGATTTCGAAATACACACGTTCCCCGAATGCACCACACGTTTTGTAGGTCACACACTAGCTAGCCAGTGCAACATGCATCGCGTCTGTATCCTCCTTACTGTACACTGTAGGCGCGTGATACATCGGTGGTTGATTCGAAGCTTGTTTTGTTTTATCCAATACGTGTTTTGTTCGAGTTGGATTGCGCTTTACATGTCCATATATGTGTCGGAAGTGACAAACGAGTTTTCTGTTGGAACCTTGATCGTGTAAATAGTTTTTTTGACCGATATTCTATTATATATACTTCGTATGTATACATCATACCAATGTTTGAAATTCACTTCATTGTTCATTTATAATAATGTGATATGTTTTTGAAATCTACATACATATATACTTGTGTTTGTCTTATACTGATCAAGGATTATGAACTATTTTGGAGAACGATACCTGTATCATGGACCAGACTATCAGATTGGGTAAAACTGATTACCCCCTTCTTATCTTAAGTATGTGCGTATGTTTGTACATTTAACCCTGCCTTTATATTATGTGTTCGTATCATAAAATCGTTTTCTTTCCATGCTGACAAATATGTTTAAGTCCGGACTATGAGAGAATAATCCATATTGATTGCAGTTTTTCCTGGCCTGTCGGATCCTTTGGAAAGGTACCTAATGTATTAATAAATAGTGGCTATTTTTGCTAGCTGTGATGATAAATTGATCTGAACAATAACAGCACATTGTTGAAGCCGAAAAAGGTCAGTGTTGTAAAGATTTGTCTCTACCGTCTAGTCCACAATTTCTCTAAGGTCTGTAAGAGTTTACCAGTGGCCAGGGACTTTTAAGATTATGAATATATCGAATCAAGAACAACCTATATCATTTTACTGTTATTGATTGGTTGAGACAAGTAATGTTTGGGTCTTCTCAGGATTAAGATTCCTTTGCAAGTCTATGTTTTTTATGGGCAACCATTTTAATTTTTCATTAACTGCCTTTTAAAGTTCGCCGATCTTTGGGCAACTAGGTCCAGAAGATAATTGGGAGTTTAATAAGTTTCAGTTGGAAGACATTGCTGGAAAGTTTTAATCATGTAGCTAACACGGTCATATCACTGAGTTTGGTAACTTTTGCCAGCGAGGCTTGAGTAGAAGTTTGCAGTGCCACATCTGCTCCATAGTGGTAGCGATGATATATTTCAACAACAGTATATGTTTGTATCACGTATGCCGTGTCATATTCTATTTCTGACACTATTTAGATGATGTCGAGATGATTTTATCATATTTGTAACATGTAAGGTCGACTTTTCATGATAATTAAGTTGACCAATCATATAAATTAAGTCGACCAGTGGTAATAATTCAGTCCCTTTTTTGTGATAAGTGATAGCATCCTTATCGCCTTGATATTTCCCTTCTTATGGAAACGTAAATTGACCTCTTCTACACAACTGTTAACCAAATGTACCATCGACTTTTACGGATGTTGTGGTAAAATATTTTAATACGGCGTCGCCTTCAGAAACCAATCCAGTCGTCATGATAATAGACTGACCACCAGTTTTTATGAAGAATTTCTCGACTGCATTTTACTATTAGCTTATCTCCCCCTAGTTTAGAATCATACATCCAAGTGAGCAAAATGATTGGAGTTAAAAATAATGTCATAATATTCAATATTAGAGAGACGGTGGCCAGTCTATCATGAGAGTACGCGTACTCATCGTGTAGTCTAATTTAGACATCATGCCGGGTTTATTATCGTTAGATGCTGGAATGGTGACATTTTAAAATCAATTTGTATGCTTTTCCACGACAGAATGTTTGTTTCTGCACACATATATTTTGAGAAAAAACCCGGATAATTAAAAAAAGATTTACTATGGAGCCCTTTAATTAACATAGTTCACACTTATTTTATTTATTTTTATCGAATTATTGTTTCGTTTCTCCGAAATAATTGTTTCGTATTTGTTTCGAAATATATTTTCGTTATAACAACGGCACGTTAACAGGATGTCTATTTCTGATCACATTCATGTACATTTTTTTTAAAAAAATGGTGAGGAATATAAAAAAAAATCTCAACTGATTGCTATTAATGCGATGCTGGCAACGTATTTATCGACAGAAAACTGGATGTCTTAGAAACCATTTCATAGTCCGGATCATAGTCCATATTACATTAGCCCACTGCCTTTCAGATACTCCGGATTATAGTATGTTTAATAAGTGAACTGCTCTCAGTTGATATTCATATTTAACATGAGTGCCAAACGGATATGACACGTTGAATGAAGAGTTGTGCATTAGAGCTTACTACAAGTATTGAATTTGCGATTTCGTCTTGGCATTCATATTGATTATTAATACCAACTGACAACAGCCAAGTACTAATATATAACATTAGAAATAAATCAGCATTAAGATTATATCTGTATGTATTGTGAATGCTCATTTAGTTAATAAAGTTAACATCTTAAAGGGAAAGTCAGTGTTATCATACCTTGTAGTTCAATAAAGGAGAACGCTGTAAGTTGGCGATTTCAAGAATTGGCTAATGGCATTCATTACTTATATGAATGTCATCTGTATTTCGGATGGTATTACACTTGCAATGTCTATATTAGATGACGGATATCTTTCGTACATCCTCATTGATTGGATCATAATCACGTTGAGGTCGCTGATTTGCGATATTCGCTCTGTATAACTATTTTTATAAACAGCAGGTCACTATTCACTCCATAAGTCATTTTAATTATAATATCGCAATCCTTTTGCCAAAGGCAGTAATTTCCTCCTACATGATCATGTAACCGTTTTTATACGTTCTATCTTTATTAATGATTTTATTATTATTCAGCATCTAATATAACATTTCAGGACTTGTATTTCGGTGAATAGGAAGTTATATGAACCCGAATAAACATTGAATGATCAACATTTATCTATGAATGTATTCATAAATTTACAAGGAAGTATAACAATTTAAATAAATTATTAAAATGTGGCTTAAAACACGTAACAAATGAGTGCAACCTTACCAACTATTTATGTTCTCCAGTACTTTGAATAAGAGAAAACAAAACTATAAAAAAGACCAAAGTGTTTTTTCTCTTCCCCAGGCAACTCCAGCAATCAAGGTGGAGTATAAAATGGTCTGGTGGGGATGTTGCGGTATCTGTGCTGTAACATTCAAGTGAGGTTGCACTATAACATATGCCGTTAGAAGCACGGTCCCACTACAAACGGAACACAATAAAAACCCTGCACACACGTAGGGAGGTATTAGCAAATATAAGTTATGGATATTAACCAGTCTATATATCCATAGGCGTTGACCCTACAATGCACAGACGTACTGATCAATTTCAAATTACATAACGCGTAAAGTGTGTATATCATTACCCGTGTCACTAGACAAAAAGATTACTGTGACTACCGAGGTTATGCATGTTAAATGCTCTATGATAGCTTTTTTTTTAAATATTAAGATCAAAGCTTAAAATAAGGAGCACATCTGTCTTTAATATTAAGAATAACCCCGCAACATCACAATATACACTAGTAATATGGCAATCGTAGATAGAACAATAACAGGATATTGGCACTTGATGAAATATGTAATATGTAATGGTTATCAATATAAAGGTAAGTGGTTAAATATAAGTCAAACATAATTGCCACTTTAATGCACAACTCCGTAATCTACTTATATTCCCTTTAGAAGGTCTGTTTTACGAAAAGGTTATTAAATGGCAGTTATCCTGCGAGGACATGCGTTTAATGATATTGGTCAAAGGTCAATTATATGCCGTGTTGACTCTTAATTTCGTTGATTTCATGGGTAATATTCATCCACAAAATAATTAAGAGCTTGATATAAAGCATCCACAAATTCATGTATCCACAAAATGGTGTTTTGTTCAGAAACCATGAAATGTTGACCCCACGTATCTCCAACGAATTGAGTTGTTGCGATTCGATTCAAGCTTTCAAAAGGAAATAAAATTGCTTACAATCCTCAAACATTTGTTTGAAGTAGACCGGCAAATGAAGTCGTTGTAGGTAAAGGAAATTATGTATAAAAAATCGTTTACAAACGATGACAAAATCGAAACACTATAAGCCCCCACTCATAACTGAAGAATACCGTGATTTACAAAAAAAGTAAGATGCTTCATCAAAGAGACTCAAACGTCTTCAAGAAGGAATTTTCTCCGTTAACGTTATTGACCTTTGTCCCAGCTGTCAACAATATGTATCCTGAAACACCTAGTGCTTAAAATCTCGGCAGAGGGGACTCCCATCAGTATTATCGCTAATAGTTCAATAAGAAATTATAAATGTGTATACCTGAAAACCATCCCAAGAGTCGGATACTGTGTATGCATATGTGTGTATAAGATAAACAATAAGGCAGTCACTTCACCAGTTTAAGTCATCGGGAATAAACGACCCTGATCTATGACAGATTAAATTCCCAGTAAAGGCCGTAAGCCAGAATAAAAGTTCACTCCTCGGGAGTGATCATTATATTTATCTTGTTTTTACATTTTTTTCACATTTCCTCTTAATTTCCGCTCTTGATTCGTCGAACCCTTCATAACCCATGTCAGTCTTCTCGGAATGCCAATTAATCGCATTAACGTCGCTAATAAACAATTATGTGAATGTCAATGTATAGTTAGGAAACCATAAAGAATCTCAACTAAGCTAGATCCAACCTATCTTTCCCAATACGGCAAAGTTCAACGGTCATTAACAACAAACATGTCGGATGTACAAAGCATTGGAAGGCCTCGTAAAATATTTAAGATTCCATCCGCTTGACGTTTTTTTTTTTGTCAGTTAGGGATATAACGCAATAACAAAAAAAATCACTTCAAGAACTGGTTCGTGTAATTAGATATACACATTGTATAATTGTCACGTTTCCTTCGGGGTTCCGTCACATTTACGTATAATTTCTGGCAAAACCAACTTTTGTTATATTTCAAAGGATCCTAAAGGACAAGTCGTGCGATGAATACCTACTTATAATGCAACGACCTATACGTCGTTTGTCCCTGAGGGGGTAT